GCTAAATTTAAATTTTCATCGGAACTGTTTAATTCCTCTTCGCTGCTATTTTCACCAGAACCATCCAATGGGCATTCATCTGATGGGACGGTCCAACTAAACCAATTAAATTTGCCTAATGTTTTGTACATTAACGCCAAATAAAGGCACACAATTATAGGGGCGATGTACTGTATAGTGGCTACGCATAGATAATAAAATACCGCAGCAATCTAAAGATAATAAGGAATTAATCAAATTTTAATGCTATGTTAAACATAAAGCTAATATTTATCAATATAGTAATAGTATAGTATCATGAAAATTACCTTTTTTTGTAAGTCAATATTAGTAATTCTTCCAGCTTCTTTTCGCAATTCTTTAATTCTACGACCTGCCATATCCAAATAGGCCTGAAGGTACTTGGGTGTCAAACATATTTTAATAACAAACGTAACAACTATCAGAATTATTCTCAAGGAGTCAAATGTTTCAGTGGACATTCTAATAAATTGAAGTTGAAATTTATAAGTAGGTAAAGTAAAGTAGAAAAAGGGGACTGCAGTAAATAAGTACTTTAATTTTTCATTTCAACTTTAATAACAACTTACATAGGGTCAGTTCGTTCTCCGAAAGTTCGCACCGTAAGATTATCCCTTGCTAAAGGTTTAATCCAAAGGACGATTAAAATTAAGGGCATTGCAAAACTCAGATTCACAATCGCATATACAAGTTTTGTATCTTGAAGAGATCTAAAAAATACACATCAAATAAAAAATGCATTAATTGCTTTACACTTATTTATACTGTAATAATTATAATAAATAAATGAAGAAGAAACAGAAGCAAATAAAATAACTTTCCTAAAGTCAATAACAAGGGAAATTAAATGACATACTAATTTACAGAAAACGGACTTTCTTCAGTTCATAAAATTAGATATCATAGCTGCATATTGGAAATAACAGATTTTTTTTAATTTCAGTAAAATTTGTAATGATGATGAAATTCAGTAAAATGTACTGATTAGTAGTAACAGGAGAATTACCAGCTTAGGATTAACTTATTATATAAAATATGTAACTAATCTTAATATAATAAATATTTATATTCATGAAACTTACTTTAATAAGTCACAGTGCATTCTACCTGTTCTCAATCCAGGAAACGTAAAAATAGTGCCCAAAATGGCACACCATACCGAAATGAAAAATTTCAGTACTATTTTTGAAGCTGGGCCTCTGCAAAATTAAACAGCAAGAAACAATAACACTTAAATTAATAATGAGAAGAATCAGCAAAATCTAATATCAAGTAAATAAAGTGCATTTTCTCACGTTGATTTTATGTTTTGTGTGTTAATAAATGTTGAAGCAGTCCTATTAAAACTAGAGTATGCTTTCTCCAGTCCAAGCTCAAGAACATTTTCATTTATAATCAAAAAGATCATGGCAATTAAGAGATAAATGAATCCCATAACAATACAAGCAGATCTTTCTCCAATTGACTCATCACTTCGGAAATACTGTATTGTGAGAGACAATAATATTTTCCTATTCATAATATTAAGAAAAATATACCATATAAACTCAGTTCATTCAATAAAAACCTAAATCAAAAGGATACAAAGCATAACCAACTATAAGTGTACACCATATTATGCTCAAATTAATTTCATTCTCTATTGAATAGAATGACTTGTACACCTGTAATTATTAAACAATAAAAAAATACTTCCTAATACCTAATGCATGTTAGTACCTACCTCAGTCAAAGTGTATACTATTGCTGCATAAACTGCAAAATCTAATAACCACTGGTATTCAGTGTAATACTTTAAATGAATTACATCGAGTACAGAAATTTTGGCAGTTTCAAGCTCAAATTCCAGGTCTTTGGGAATATGAAACGTTTTTTGTTTACCATTTTCGTAGATCTTATTTCTTTTTGCGGGTTTTTCTTTGGGAATATGGGCTAATTCCCGAAGGGTATCATCTGTAGGATAAAGGTACCTTATAAGACCTGTACTACATAATAACCATCTTCCAAATGAAAAATGGTGCCCTAGTTTTTGAATTAAACTAATTATTATCAAAGTGATGACCAGTTGTGCTCCCAGTAGTGCCTACAAAATAAGTTTTTTTAATATAAAACCCTTTTTGTTGAAAATTTAAATTTACCATTTCTTGACAAACTTAAACCTAATTAAACGACTTCTCTTGTTACATGTTTAAAATAATAATAGACTGCCTTGAAGTGAAGTACTCAAATGAAGTTTTTATAAATATTCTTCCTAATTACTTGCATTCTATTTTTAGTTTATAACATCATCTCGTACATAATACGAAAATTCTAACCTATAAACTTAAAAAGCATGTTTATTTTAATTTAATATTTAGGCTTTATTATTTTTCATAATAACAATTTCTTATTTTATTAAAAAAAGATAGAAGTATCGTACTTTCTAATTTTCCACCGACTTAAGATAACTTTTTATCTTTCAAATTTTGTTTGCAAGTTGTGGTCATTTAATCATATCAGT